CTACTACTACTACTACTACTACTACTACTACTGCTGCTGCTGTTGCTGCTGCTGAAGACGTTGATACCACAATCACTACAACTACAACTGTTTCTGCTACTGCTACTATCACTCCTACTACTACTTCTACTGTTGCTAGAACTACTACTACTACTACTACTACTACTACTACTGTTGCTAGAACTACTACTAGAACTACTACTACTACTACTGTTGCTAGAACTACTACTACTACTACTGTTGCTAGAACTACTACTACTACTACTACTGTTGCTAGAACTATTACTACTACTACTATTGTTGCTAGAACTACTACTACTAGAACTACTTCTAGAACTCCTCCTTCAACTACCCGTGAAGATCCGGGTAAGAAGAGACCTTCACCATTCATGTTTGCCGTAAAAGGCGACTATGCTTGTTGTAAGAGGCGACAAATGGGTTCAGGTGGTCAGGCTCGCTGACTTTGTTCATGCATGTCATCGTATCTCAATTTCATGGATAGATGATCATGATGTCATATAGCTGGGATATTGCTGAATGCGGCGTTAACCAACAAACTACTACTACTACTACTACTACTACTACTACTACTACTACTACTACTGTTGTGGCTGCTGCTGCTGCTGCTGCTGACCGCCTCCGTGATCTAGTTGATAGAGCGTATAGCGGAAGGCCGGGGTTCGATCCTCGGTCGCGTCATACCAAAAGACGTTAAAAGATCATACTTGTTGTTACCCAGCCTGACGCTCGGTATTAAGGGGGTTAAACAATGACTGGTCATCTCGGAGTCAGTATACTGTGTCTGAAATGCGACATGGTATCTCAGTGGGCTAATACTATAAAATCGGCATAAGTCTGGACTAGCACGCACGCACGCACACGTGAATGCAGGTCGCTAGATGTGCAATAATCTTGAACGCGGCGTTAAACCCCATTTCACCCAACTTCACCTATCACTACTGCTGCTGCAACCACAAGCACTACTACCACCACGACTCTAGTACTACTACCACTATAACCATAACTACCATTTCTCCGCATATAACATTAACAACGACAGTTGCCAACTAAACGTCAACACGTTCTTTAACACTACAAATAAGCCAGCTTTCGAAAATATCCATCTTGTACAAACACACTGTCGTTTCTAAAATGTTCTGGTTTAATATAGCAATTATTTACAATCATGTTATTTATAATGCATGTCGCCATAACGGCCTTATATGGTTGCTAGTAGTTTTCATATCGTCTGTGACGCCATGTGCAGTCTCCGAGTACCTCTGACATTGACACTACCGACTAGATGTCGCATGCCTCCTAACACAGATATACCTCGATGGCCAAACACCTGCACACGAACTATATACACACACTGACGCATTTTGCAGACACATGTCAATTTGCACATATAGTCACACCAAATGAGATCGGGGGTACGGGTGTCCCAGTCGTCAAAGGCGCCGCGATTCTCTGTGCAGAGTTGCGTCCCTTGGGCACGCCATAAAACTATGATTGTGGGTTCGAGTCCCGGTTCGCCCCGATTATGTTTCTAGGTTTGTCAGCACCATACCCATGCTCGTGGCTTTCACCGAAGTGGTAAACGTCTGAGACCTGCATCACTTCGGGCTTTCCTCCCACATTAAGCTGACACGCCGCGATATAACTGGAATAATGTTAAAAGCGGCGTTAAACCCAACTCACTCACTCACCCACCCAAATGAGATCAGTTATGCAACCGTCTTGGTGAAACTACCGCTTTCATTATCGGGTGATTTATCGGCAAAGTTGAAGGGGTAATGAGGAAGAGGACACACTAGCCACGGGCGACCGGCTCTGATGGATTATAGCTGCCCCCAGCCTTAGGATGTGTACTTTATAAACAGGCTGAGCGACTACGTTTTGAAACAAAACAACTTCACAGCGCTTTGTCTCAGATTTGACTATGTGATGAGGCGGATGGCGTAAGGATGTATTATCTAAATTTGTCGAAATCCTATAAGTGTAATTAATTTCTGATCCCACACAGATTACAACGTCTTTCGAGAATAACCTAAGGCGTTGCATAACTACAGCAAATAGTCGGGACTAAAAAGTTAGTTCGTTATATCCGTCAGTTCGTTATAAGCGTGTTCGTTATAACCGTAGTTTACTGTACTTTGTATACGTATCCTTCGACAAAAACGTGAAACAAATCCGGTTTGGGGTTTATAACAGGTTAATCGCACTTACGGAAGTAACATCGCAAAATGTTTTACCTAACCTGACCAAGACAAGTGATACATGATCAATCATCGGTATGAGTTCTCTTAAACCTCTTTAGCCACGACGAGTACTACTCATTGCTTCACTAATGCTCAAAACAGTGTGACGAGAAGATCCTGGATAGAATGGGTCTTCAGCAACCCATGCTTGCTGTAAACTATGCTTGTCGTAAGAGGCGACTAACGGGATCGGGTGGTCAGGCCTGCTGACTTCGTTGATGCATGTCATCGTGTCCCATTTGCATGGGTCGATGCTCATAATATCAATCACTGGCTTGTCTGCTCCAGACTCGATTTACAGAGCGCCGTCATAGAGCTGGAATGATGCTGTGTGCAGCGTTAAACAACAATCAACAACAACAAAAACAGCGTGTAGCTTTTCCCCCAAACCGCTGATCACAAGTCAACATCCCTCTAACAATTCATAACAAAAATCCGCGTAAAAAAAGGGAAAACATTTTTTATTTTTTCTCATTCACCCGACAAACAAAATAATTGGTTAGAATAATTTTATATTATTTCGACCACACACCCAAAACGAAAATTCCTTTACACCCGAACAAAAAATAATTGGTTAATATGATTTGATTTTATTTCGACCACAGACCCAAAAAGAAGGATCCGCAAAGCAAACTAATGTAAGAGAAAGGCCTAACAACACACTAACGAGAAATGACAAGCGTGGTGTTGTTTCTATTTGGTTTAGGACTGTGAGGTAACACTATAACATAGCAGTTATATATCGGTCCATTCAACTGGAATCTGTAGGGTCCTGTCCAGTCTTGCCCAGGTGTGTCCGGAGGTCAAACACAGACGCTGCGAAACCACAACCTGGTCAAGACACTGCGCCGTGATTGATCCGTCTATAGACAGTGGACACTCGATATCATAGCCAACACCGTCATGTAATGAGACCTGTGACCATGACAAGCCCTCGGGTTGGGGATAACCGGAGAAAGACAGGCAAGGGGGGGGGGGGGGTTGCGGTGAGTTCATGGGAAGGGAAAAGGCTGTGAATGTTCTGTGATTAATCAGTGTTAATGTACATAGGGAGGACAGTTGTTCTCAGAAAGGTGTGTGTGTGTGTGTGTGGGGGGGGGGGGGGGGGGGGGGGGGTTTACACGGGAACTTATTTTACTTTTCGTGGTTTGTGGGTGGGTCTTTACAGTTGGTACGGTTTGAAGGTAGTGGTGGCTGTTTCGGGGTCGATTAAACGGGTGTGACTCAGGCGCTCTGCGGGCGCACTGACCCGAAACAAAGTCACCTTACACATGACATAGTTCGCTCGGTTCACTGAACCCAAACAAACAATCCTATATTCAGTTTGGATCATACACACACACCTGATTGTCCATTCTTGACATATTGATCTCGTCATATTGGCTTGTCATAAATTGTTTGCTCTGAATACTTATGGGGTCTTTTCTTCCTGACGTAACAGGTCTACATAAACAAATAATAGACCCCATAACTCCAACACATATGGGAAGTTCATGACCTCTTGTTAATTTCGACCGCCATGTACAACCATATCGTCCATCGTGCAAACAGTGTCGCTTGGAATAAACACAAATATTTTAATGACGATGATAGTTATGAGAGTCATGTACAAGGACAAAGGTTAATAAAATCTAACACGAATGTGATAAAATGTTTATAAAACCGCAAAGTACCTCTGTCATAAAAAGAGACACGACAGTGTATGTAACAGTCTTGGTGTAATAGTGCGACAATTAACATGCGTCATAAAATACATGTCAGTTGAATTACTTGCGCGCTGTGGATTATACGAAATGAGTCGGCACGATGGATCGCCACCGTTAAAGGCAGCTCATCCCTCAGAACTTCAACAATGAACAAATCTGCTTTCGAGTGCACAAACCCAGTGACATAAGACATGCAGAATGACCGTTCAAGTCTGACACGAGGCGTTAAAAAATGACACTTTAATTTCAGACGCATATTTTCACGTTTATCAAGATTATAACCCCGCACAACAGCATTTCGTGCTGAAAGATAAGTTTTTTCGACATAAAGTTGTGTCGGTATCAGTATATTGACTTTGTGAGATATTTACTCAAAATTACGTCACATTAGTTAAACTGTACGCAGGGGACAATAAGCAACCGGTCCTGTGGAAAATACGTACGCGATAAAAGACCATTATCGGGTCTTAAAATGCTGAATTATGTAATGTAAGATTATCTCACTGCAAGAACGCGTGTGCGTGCTTTGCTGAGAATTTAAACAATGCAATTGTGGTGGTTAATTGTCATGGATGGTTGACCTTTTCTTCACTGAAATGATATTTGTCACGAGGTTGTTACCTTTCAGTCAACCTGCACGGTATTACTGTTGAAGTTCGTGCAAAATATACCACTTGCAGATTCCACTTTATTAACCGACACAAAATCATGCGCATTGGGGTACACGCCAACAAGCCAGATTATGTAATTACCGTCATAAACGGCGATCCAATTGGTACGCTTTCGACAAAAGATCATGACATATTTTCAAGATGGTGTGTGAAAGGGCAATGCATACTAAAAAACATTCTCTATCAACAATGGTACAGTTACTTAAATGTAAATCAAAAGGTACACATTTTAGCTTATGTTTAGATTCAATTGTTGATCTTGCGTAGTAGCGACAACCCCGAAGGCTGCCAATGTGTCCAATGCTTTAGTCGGGTGAGAGACATCAATAGGAAAAAAACAAGCATATATTGTGTACACCTACCTGTTGCTGTCTGGCTCGACAAAAGGCAACCCAAAAGTGGAATAACTAAAATCCAGTATTGTTCCATAATGCACAATTAATGTCCCACGAACAACGACATATCACCGGTCCGATACTTAATGTTTACAAGAAGTCCTCCAAAACGATGTAGGTCCTGTACACGGGCAAGTCTTAGCTGAACTGAAGGCTTGTCTATAATGAGAAGCCAGGTAAGCAGCGACTGCAGTGAGCCGTGCCGTGGCGTGGCCTGGATTAGGGATGGTGTCAACCCTCTCTCTCTCACTCAGCCATTCACCAGTCCATCTTTCTATCCGCATGGACATCGGCTATTTGTCGACTGTGGTTAAGAGAAGGGAGCACACAAATTAAGTTAACAATCAGCACGGGTGTTGCACAGAGCCAATAGCAACGCGTGACTTCCAACCGCCCTTTGTTAAAGCGCCGGGACAGTGAGGAAAAATAAATCGCTGCGAATTGCACTACAATGTAGAGAATATATTGTGTTTTTTGTATGTTTTTTGTGGGTAAAGTTCTGATTTTATCATAATGTTAAGTGTTTTAATGTTCAACTTTGGGCAATAATTGTGTGATCCTGATTGCTGAACGCGCTCTTCTATTAAGGACAACTTATCAACCAATTTTGCCGTGTTGTGTTGAACTGTGTCGAGTTTTGCTATGTGGTAATGCTGTGGTGTGGTGTGCTGCTGGTCTCATGTTAGTGTGGGTTGTGCTTCACTGTGTTTAACTGTGTCGAAGTGCTGTGTTGTGTTCAACTGTCTCGAGTTCTGCTGTGCTGTAATGATGTACTATGCGTATGTTAGTGTGAGTTGCGCTTCGCTGTGTTCAACTGTGTCGAAGTGCTGTGTTGTGGTCAACTGTCTCGAGTTCTGCTGTGCTGTAATGATGTATTATGCGTATGTTAGTGTGTGTTGTGCTTCGCTGTGTTCAACTGTGTCGAAGTGCTGTTTTGTGTTCAACTGTCTCGAGTTCTGTTGTGCTGTAATGACGTACTATGCGTATGTTAGTGTGCGTTGTGCTCTGCTCTGTGGTGTACCTATATGAGCTTGTCGCTGTGTTGTGTTGTTTTATGCTGTGCTATACGTGTTCGTTGTGCTTTGGTATGTTGCATCGCGCTGCGCAGTTCGCCTATCTTGGCTTGTGTTGCGTCCTGCTGTGCTGTGTTGTTCTGTGCCAATGTTAGGTTGTGTTGCGCTGTGGTGCTACGTGGTATTCGGTTGTGGTGCATTGTTGTTCTTTGCTGTTGCATGATATACTATGCTGTGTAATGCTGTGCTGAGTTCGAGTTGTGTCGTGATATGATCAGGTGAGTCAGGTTGTGTCGTGATGACCTATGCCCAGGTGTGTCAGGTTGTGTCGTGATGTGCTTTATGCTGTGCTTTATTTTAAGCTTTTGTCATGAACTGATATGATATATCAACATACATCATGGACTTGAAAGGGTATTACAGATGTTCACAGTGGATTTCGGGAACAACTCTGTGTCCCAGAACCCTGTGCTTGTCGTAAGAACCGATTAAAGAGGAACTGTTGGCCTCCCACGGTGGCTCGTGTGTCATCTTGTCCAAATGGCATGGTCGTTGCTTATGTTATCAACCACTCGTTTCCTGGCCCAGGAAGGCGACTGTGTTTACAGTTAGTTAATTTGACATAATGTTGTGGGTTCTACTCTCGAACTCTGACAACGTATTTGACAATATGTCTCACAGGAATGCTAACGACAGGTGGTCTGTCAGCTGCCCGAAGCCATGTGGAATATGTTTCATGTCAGTGGGTCATGACAGTCAGGTCGATGACATAAACATTTAATGAAATAGGATTATGAAATATTTGTTCCTTGCTCACTTTGTTAAGAGAACATAACGTTCTACTTCAAAGTCGTGGTTCTTATAATATATAACGAACGTGAGAAAGACAATTGGAACACTTCGTGTGTGTGTGTGTGTGTGTGTGTGTGTGTGTGTGTGTGTGTGTGTGTGTGTGTGTGAGTGTGTTTGTTTGTTTGTGTGTGTGTATGTGTGTGAGTGTGTGTGTTTGTTTGTGTGTGTGTGTGTGTGTGTTTGTTTGTGTGTGTTTGTGTGTGTGTGTCTGTCTGTGTGTGAGTGTGTGTGTGTTTGTTTGTGTGTGTGTTTGTTTGTGTGTGTGTGTGTGTTTGTGTGTGTGTGTGTGTGTGTGTGTGTGAGTGAGGGATGGAGGAGGTGTGTGAGGAAGGGAGGGAGGAGGTGTGTGGGCGAATGAGTGAGTGAGTGAGTGTTGTTTTACGCCCTAGTACCATTTCCAGCTTTGACATCGGTCTGTAAACAATCGAGACCTGACCGAGCAAACATGTGGTTGATAGCATGAGCAACGGCACCCGCCTTTTGTTACGTCGTAGATTGTAACCACCCAATCCTCTTTAGTGTGTTTCATGAAAGCGTGAGAAACGGGGGATCTTTTCTGACCCGACATCTCTACAAAGCAGCAAGGTTACTTCCGAAACAGATCCGTGTATAAGTAAGGACAGAGACCATATACCAAATACCATCGGTATATGGTCTCTGCTTAGGAGTAGAAGTGAAACAAGACACGGAACCTTCACAGAATCTTATGTTATGTTTATCATAAGAGACAACATATTAATTGTATAATTAACTGCCGGGAAAAAGAATGCAAAGTGGATTTTACCAAATTTACAAACGTTATCAAAACGTTACAACACTGAAAACAGTCGACGAAACACTTAAAAGTTAAGGTCCAAAACACTGTGATACCCGTATCAAATACAGTAAACTACGGTTATAACGAACACGCTTATAACGAACTGACGGATATAACGAACTTACTTTTTGGTCCCGACTATTTGCTGTAGTTATGCTGTATATATGCTTATAACGAACTACGGTTATAACGAACTAAAATTAGTGGTCCCTTTGAGTTCGTTATAACCGTACTTTACTGTACATCACCATCGAATAACCATCGCTTGTTTATTTTATTGTTAGCCACCAGCAAAAGTGGCTGTATACTTCCTTTTGTCCTGCTGTTTATAAGGCACAACACATTTATTGCTTTGCGTCGGACTAACCGCTACTTTTCTATAGCAGAATTAATTTTTGGGTGGTGGTTTTATTACACATATAATCTTTACAAAAAAATAAAACAATGTTGTTTTTTTCTCCAAAGATATTTAAATAATCTAATATTTTGTTGTTGCATTAAAATTGATAGACCATCAAGATCTGGATTTGGAAGTATAAATTTGTTTTAAGTTTATATTTTAGTTTTATCCTGCTGCATCATGGATTGTAGATGGGCCAGGGGTATTTATCCTATTGGAAAGGAGATATAATCCCCTGGATCACCGAAGATGAAGAAATCCATACCACGCACCCCTTGATACAGATGCCACTTTTGTGAGTGAGGGAATTGGGATTTACGCCGCTTTTAGAAATAGTCCAGCAACAATACGACGGCGGATACCAGAAATTGGATTTACACATTGTATCCATTTGGGGAATCGAACCCGGTCCTTTGGCGTGAAGAGTGACTGGCCCCGATCTCACTCGAAGATGAGTGATGATTTAACCGTTACTCTGTATGTAAAACCACTCCATGGGTTTAATAACCCTTTCATTTATGACTATAAGCACGCTTATATTATGTTGTCCGTGTAATACATATTTCCGCAATAGAAAATTTAAAACTTTCAAGCTTTTGTCTCAGTCTGGTAATCACGTGTAAATATATTTGCGAATGAGTATGGTTTAATGCCTCTTTAATCAACAAAAGTAACGGCGAAGGGCAACAAGTGCCTGACCATAATGTTCCCATGTTGGGGTCGAGCCCGGGTATTCGGAGAGAGGAGACACCGCCCCACTGAGTCAGTGAGTGAATACACGTTTCACATTGCTCTCGGGTTAACTCATGATAAATATCATCATCATCATCATCATCATCATCATCATCATCATCATCATCATCACCATCATCGTCATCACCACCACCACCACCACCACCATCATCATCATCATCATCATCATCATCATCATCATCATCATCATGCACTGGCTCTTCGTTTGGTTTATTTCATCGGTAAAATCTTCTACAGACATGAAAGATGAAATTTTTTCAATTTGAAATGATGTATTGGGTTTAAGCTTCTGCATTCGAATCTTTGCAATAGGTTCATTACCTAAAATGCAAGTGCATATACGTACCAAGACATTAACATATTAAATCTATTAGATATTTCTTTATTTGAAGTAATCTGGTATCCACGAAGATCCAGTTAGAATATTCCATGCTTGTCGTTAGAGGCGACTAAAGGGATCTGGTGGTCAGGTTCGCTGAATTGCTTGATGCATGTCATCGTATCACAATTGCGCGGATCGATGCTCATGATATCAATCACTTGATTATCTTGTCAAGACTCGATTATTTACAGACCGATATCATATAGCTGGAATATTGCTGATAGCGGCTTTAAACAACAAACAAACAAACAAAGTATTATGGTCTCTGCGATGGTAATAAGATAAAGCTTCATGTATGATAACATGACATCATTATGCATGTTTACTTTGTATACAAGTAGATAGTTTAACGACACAAAGCATAATCTAAACTGGCAAGATTAAAATGAAATACAAATAAATGTTTATATATTTACATAATAACTATTATCGTCGGTAAATCTTCCCTGACACGCCGAGGATGTTACACATGAACGTTTTTAAGTAAAAGTTTGCACTTTTATGGAGCAAATACGAATCAAAACGCTCTCCATCATAATAGATAATTAAGTTTAACATTACGAGACAGTTACCATATAGTTGTGACGTTGTAGCACTGCGTTGTACTGCATGTAATTTCGGATTAACTACAGGTGTCCCCATTGTGCAGAAACTAAAAAAAACCTTAATAACCCCCGTCGTATAAGACATGCTTGTCAAGGGACAATATCGTATTGATCCTCTCCACATGTGAAGATGAAATAAATGATAAAATGCCTGATTGTATATTAAAATACGTTTGTCTGCATACATCTCATCCTTATCAGTGGGCCGCCTCCGTGGTCTAGTGGTAGCGCGTCCGCCCGGAGATGTGTGTGTGTGTGTGTGGCTGCTTGTACTAGTCCGGACTGATGCCGATTTCTAGTGCTAGCTCACTGAGATACCATGCCGCAGTTTAACATGAATACCCCACTCAGACACAGTATACTGACTCCGAGCCGACCAGTCCTTGTTTTAGCCCCTTAATGCCGAGCGCCAGACGGTAACAACAAGTACCATCTTAAAACGTCTTTTGGTATGACGCGGTCGGGGCGGACGCTCTACCATTAGACCATGGGTGTGCTTGTACTAGTCCGGACTAATGCCAG